ATATACAATCGAGTCGGTTGGAACTCAACCAAACTCAAGAAATCCTAATCTGCTCCGTTGGGCGCGAATTCATTTCTGGTTTCTCCTACTCTTTACAGCCGGCGCTCGTTGGAACCTCGCAACCGAGTCGCCATCTTGTTCGTTGAATGCCCAGGCGCGTATCAGTGTTTTGTGTATCCCCACGGGGGAAACACATATCACCAGTGATATGTGTGCGGGGATACACATATCACGGGGATACTCCGGCTTTCTATTTATGGCCGGGCGAAATCCGGTATAGATACCGTATGCTCAATACACAGCCTACATATGAAAGTTGTCTTGTCGGTGAACGGGTGTGTATTAAGGTCGCAGACGGATAGAAGTATCTTTTCATTCATAATTTCATTCCAATCATAGTCTCACTTTTTCCATGTTGCATAACGAAACACAGCAGGGAGTTTAGGCAAATCACTATGGCTGGTGCTACTACGGGTGCCGTGACTGAAAAGGTCTGAGGTTTAGCGAGTAAAGCGAAATACAAAGATGAAAGAAACATCGGCTATAGCTGAGGAGTTTAAAATCTCTTTTATTTAGTTTCTCACAGCCAAATGGCTTCGCTCAAAGGACGATGGCCGTTATTCGCCTTCCTAGGACGGACAGATTATTTCTGAGCGAAGGCGAATGACAGACACTTTGTTTCATAACAATTTGATGGATGAAACATAATTTCAGAGACAAATATCTCAAAGAATATCGAGTGAAGAACACAAAATATCAATACTCAAAGAAGCAAAATAACATCGTATAGTTATCCAGATATAAAACATCTTCACTAAACCCTCAAAGCAAACTTAACCGAAGAAAGACAACCTCGTGCACAACACGAATATTTCACTTGACTCACTTCGCCATTCCAACACCTTTGCCAAAATTTATCGTAAATTCAGGATACTGATTTACAAGCTTATGAGAGGTAATCTTGACACAATCTTTGACTTAAATTGACTTTAAAGGATATAGTATCCAACGGAGTTCTTAAAATGCCGAGATGTCCGTTGAAAAGGGCCAGAGAAGCGAAATAAACCCGACGTAGTAGCCACTACGACAAAACATCCCGACTCACGTAGTCAAATTTCACGCTACGGCTGGATGCAACCGACGTACATGCGCAGTGTCTCATTTTGGGGGAAATTTACTTCTGGCAGCCGTATCAGCCGTAGCGATTTGCTTTAAGTCCCTAGTATTGCCATGTTTGGTTCTACTTGTCTCCAAAATCAGTCAGGGACAAACCTTAAATGATTGATAACCGGAAAAATAGCTTTTAGAAACACCTGTAAATTTTGAAATAATCTGACTGCTTTAGTTATCCGTTGTTTAGAGCCAAGAGGGCGAAACAAAATTTCGAAATATCGGCTTGAACATTTTAGTAGCTACAGTTAGCCATAGTTAGTAGAGGGTACTAACTAGGAGTTAACTCAATGCAAAATTCTAGGTACGATCTTCGCTAGAGGCCAGCAAAAAAATTCCAAAAATGACTTATGAAAAGTAAAAATGATATACAACATTATTCACCCTGACCCATTTTGACGTCGTTTGTAAAACACAAAGTAACGAGGTGACTGGGAAATCTGATAACTAGAAGATACTAGAAGGACTACTTAACACAACGTTACAGTGTTTTGAAATACTTTAAATTCGCCCTGTGCCTGTGTATTGGAAAGTATTTTCACGGGTTGAAGCTTACAAAAACAGCCAAATATAAGTTATTTACGTTGAGCCATGGAATACTTCCGCTCCGCCTTAATTTTGAAGGAAGTGCAATATTTTTAGACAGCTTCAGCGAGTCCGCCAGTCGCGCAATTTTCTAAAAAGAAGTGTAAATTTTGTAATTGCTTTTCACACTCCTGTAGAGGTTGGATTCAGTTCTCTGGCAAATGTATGACAATAATTATATCAATATCGCTTATATATTTTTTATATTGTCCCTCCTTTGATCTCAGAAGACGCGAACATCATTCCAGCTTTCACCTCTACTGTACTCTACTGCGTTACTACGCATTCCAGAAAACCCTAGTGGATTACAGATGGTCGGTATGCCTACCCCGAGGGTTTAATTCCAATTAATTTTTTTTTTTTTTTTGACACTTGTTTGGGGGGCGTGCATTATTGCGTCAATGTGTGACAATGACCATGCACACATCACGAGCTAAATGGAAGAAAAAGCCAACTTAGTTCCTGATGAGTTAAAACGATGTTGGCGGGCAGCTTATTAGACAAGAAACCTTTTAATACCTAACTTGATCAGTAATTTCAGTCCGTCCACTTTCATGGACACGCATCGCACTCAATTCAAAGTATGGTAACCAATTTTGGCAATAACTACCACATGTTCTCTACTTACCGGTTTTAAAACTCTCTTGATTTCCGTCAACGCAGCTTGCATGTCGTGCACAGAACAAAGGGTTAAAGTGCAAACAACTGCCGCCACCGACTCATCTGCAATTCCTTCCATGTTTTCCGCAAAGCCCGCTACTATTTTCTTGAGGTACACGTGTGGAAACCTTTTTGCGTTTTCCACGAGATACGCCTCCATGTGTGGGTTAGGCTCCAGCGCAATAACAGAACTACCCTCGGGTAAAAATTCAAAGTTGGCCCCGGTTCCTGCCCCGATCTCTAAGATATCACCTTGTACGTCATTTAGAGACTGCTTCATGAGCGCGAACATTGCCTCCTTGCGGTTTCTCACGGCCCTGTTGTGAATTCGGCTGAACAGGTTCATGTGAACAGCAAACGCTTTCTTGTAGGTATTCGACGAAATCACTGCGCTGCGGACTTTTTCACTGATCGCAGCAGCTACCACTAACACCACAAGCACAATCGCACAAATCTCGAGCACTACCATCTTTATGGAGTGTGCGAACGGCCAAAAAGGGGCTTCTCTCTCTCTCTTGTTAACAGTGACGCGTTGATGTGGACCTGCGAACAAAAAAGTCAATGTTGACGCTGTGAGAACTCGACAATATACATATAAAATCACCAATGTTGCTCTGTTACAAGAGGTCAACGCTTTGAATAGGCCACTTGAACAACTCACGTGTCGATTTCGTTGAGGAATTCGATCTGACAGCCGATAAGTGTTTGCTGAGCAATATTTCCTGTAGAAACAGCGGAAGGTCAGAAATATGCGATCACAAAGCGCTCTGACGAAACCACGTATTGAATTTTCAAATAGGTTAGAACTTGCGAAACGACTCTGTATGGAAATGTACTTTTTTCATCGCACTTCAGCACTTTCTGTTTATTGTTGTTGTGTAATTAATGTGGCGTGGGGCTCCGTCTCCCGGGGTTTGCTACATTAGTCACGCAACATTGATTTAAGAGCGCACAATGCGATTGGCTGATTACTCAATCTTCGCGGTGTGTATTGTTGTTACGTAGAGAAATAGTTGCTAAATATTAGCTAAATATTGCGAAAGTAAGCACAGTATTCGTTGAGAATCATCTAGTGTTATGTAGAGAATGACAAAGATGAAGTTCTATCACGTTATTACTGATATGAAAGAATCAGAATAATTCATAGCGACAATAGGTACTCAGCGACTTAGCGGAGAAGTTAAACAGACGTGATTTACGTTCTGACTTCTAGCACGATAGAGGGTCTCTGTTTTTTCCGGTTTTTTTTTTCAACGTAGCAGGCATAAAAGTAAACATATACGCCCTGTATTGTTATTGGGAACGATCCAGTAACGTCAAACAAACAAAAACTACCGTATGGACATTTGGTGAGCACTGGGAAACCCTCTTTTGTTTCCACGCGGTTCTTGAGAAACTGAATGAAATTGTAACTTCGTTTATCCGGCTACAAACGAGCCCACCTCAACTGAACACCCGGGAGGGGGGGGGGGGGGGGGGGGGGACTACTCTGTAAATCTACCCAGATTGTCATGTCGTTTTCGCCACCTGTTGTAGATTTTTTGCTTAAAAAAGCTTAGAAAAAGGGGGTCACGGGTTCCTCAGGAACCCCCTAGCTACGCCCCTGACCCTTACCCTATACTAGACTATGATCAGCTTAATTTTGCAACCATATTCTAGATCACACGCAAAACTTACTACCCTATCCCAGTCTGGCTATTTCAATGCAGAAACTTTATCACTATCGTAGTCCAACATACGTCACTAAACCAATATCTTACAAAGTCACCTCCGAGTCTCAATTTCTATCTTAAACCCTTACACTATTAAAATTGTTTATACACTGGCCACTTATCTGGCAAATTATACCGCATTCTAGACCAAAGCTGTCTGATTTCTATACCCTACCCCGCTAAACCGCCTAAATACCATACCCTTCACAGCGGCACACACCCATATAGCTAATATATGGGAGTACCCCCCCGGGACTGAACTCAACTGAACTTACGAGAAAAAGCCTGACATCATTTGTGTTCATTACAGTAGAAACGAAGATGCTTGCTAAGCTAACTACGTGATCAAGCGCAGTTCAACAGAAGCAAAGGAGCGTTACGTTCCTATGGACAAAATTTGCTTTTCGGATCTGCTCTCATCCAAGAGCAGTTTTTCAAAGTATTCCTTAGTGTTTCTCAGTAATATACCGCGGACAACTTTGTTAAGGGAATTCTGTCCCGCGATTCTCGCGATGGATTGCATCTTCGAGTAAAATCTACCTGGATATGCAGTAGATATCCAAAGGCATAACTTTCTTTGCTTTTGTTTACTTTTCTTTAAGTGCTTTTAGCCTTAGCGGAAGATATCCAAGTTTTCAATGCGTTTTCGAAACAGGCATAAGTTAATGTAAAATATAGACACTAGCTCCCAGGATTTCGCGCGGCCATTTTTTTTCTCGCGGTTTTCTTTCGCGTCACGCACGACGGACTAAGCGAAAGAGGGACTACTCGTAGTCTATGTAAAATACGAATAATTTGACAAATCTTCTTGTCGCGTGCCTTGTACAGATTAACCTAACGATAGGGGCATAAGTTAAATTGTACAAGCCCCAAGGATCGAATACATGTTTTGAGAAGAACTTTCGAAACGGAATGAAACTGGGGATAGAATGTAAAACAAAGAGAACTATACGAAATATTAAATGCAGTGCTCAAATACAAGCTTCATTCAGCTGCTCGTTGGCAAAGTTACTCGCAATATTCTAGCGCCGTAATTTGTTTCTAATAGTAGACTTCGTCCTAAGACGGAAAATTCTCAGTTATAGAGTTCTAATAGTGTGTGTGTTTCTCTTTTGTGGGTTACTAAGAAGAACGATCGACTAATTAGGGGCTTTCTTGATCCTGACGACTCAGGGAAGCTAGAAAATAAAATAATTCTTCATTTTTTGTAGGATGGACAGTAAACAAGATGTTATATTAATTTTTGTTAGGCGGGTGTCTCTTATCATGGTCAGGCCTGTGAGAAACCTTGCATTGTGAATGCAAAGAAATCTTGAAATTGGGGCGGATTATCACCTAGTATAATTTGGTCCCGTTAATTTTACGTTAGGGAAGTGCTGTCTAAATTAAGATTTGTCGACAAAGTTTTTTCAATTAATGTTAGAAACGATTGGACCATCGGAGCATGTGCAGAGCCAATACAGTGTGACAGTGGTAAACGATAGTTCCAGCGGAGCATCCGATATAATCTATGTACTGGTCTGCCGGTGGTCTTTTAGCTGCATTGCAGGCATAACTAAGGCCCTGTCTACACTGCGCCCGGCCGGAGGAATTTGAAAACGGAGGCTTCACTCGAAAAACGCATCAAGGTTCCCGTCCACACAACTCGGTCAGGGAAATCACGTGATTATCGTGACGCCATCGTTTTGGAGAAGCTCCGTTTTTAAACTGTTTTCCGTCCACACGAAAACATACGTCGAAAAGCCGACGTTTTCAGATTCCTCCAGTTTGAAGAGCGTTTTCGAAAAGCTCCGTTTTCGTGACTGATTAATGTGGACGGTAGGCCAAACCGGATAAATAAAGCTGCGTTTTCAAATTTCTCCAGCGTAGTGTGGGACGAGCCCTAACTATAAACATATTCATTGTGACAAGTTCTTAAGCACTTTCACTATGTTCGCGTACCCACTGCCATTTCTTGACTGATTTGGCCACCCTGTAGGGTAACCCCGCCTGGAGCTCCGAATGTTTGAGACAACAACTGTCCCAGCTGCTTTTGAAAGACGCCCAGTACCACCGAAATTCTACGACCTGACCTTGGTGATTCTGCCATTATAATTGTGCGCTCCCAGGGTCTTCTGCCGTTCGATATTTAGCCAATCAGATTGCGAGGCACTGGACTATGGTTATGGTAATTAATTGTTCAAACCCTGCTAAGACCAGCTTGATCGTCTCTCATGGTCTGTGGTGTCGAGCTCTATGTAAGCGTATTAACATATATAGAATAAACCTTTCATGTGCCTTATATCGGGGGTACGCGGCTACGAAGTTACGTGGTTTCGAGGCTACGCGGGCACGCGGCTAAGGGACTACGGACACGGCTGCGAGGCTACGACGCTTCGTGGCCTCGAGGTAGCGCGGCTACGCGGGGTTTCAAGGCTACGTGGTTGCATGGCTACCTAGCCAGCTACCTGCTTTATAGCCTGGTCTAGGGAGAAATACGAAATTTTCATTAATCAAGAAATGAACGCTGTTTCCATGGGTTTTGTTCTTTTTTTTTTTTTTTTCGATCTATCAGAGACACTTTAATTCATTTCTAGACTGTTAAGCCGGAAATGGTACAAATTAAACCCAGCGCCAAACGTCAACTTATTGCGTGCAGTTTTCAGACGCGGAAATAACAGTCATGTAATATGATGTGAATTCCTTTTGAACCACGAAGTAATAAACCCTCCATTGTGGCAATTAACTAAGCTTCATGAAAGACAGGCAGTCTTGTAGAGGAAGATGTTTCAAACATTTCCGGGAGTCAAACGAGACACGAAATCATCTCACACTAGTCACGAAACGGTTAGTTAGTTATTATAACAAGTTCGGAGTTCTTTGAAAATGATGCATTCTCACGCTAAGACGTTAAAAAACGCCTATCGTTTTTTCATGTAGGGGGGATTCCTGGGGTGTTCGTGACCCCCCCTACAACAGGTGGCGAAAACGACATGATAATCTGGTGAGTACCCTCACTTTGACACAGTGTGACCCCCCCTTTGAAAAATCCTGGCTACGTCCCTGCATTTGAAAAAGAGGCTCTATCAGGCGCATTAGTGTGGACACTAGCTGAAAGAGGAGACTTTCGAAAACGCCGGCGTCATTCACATGTTGTGTGCATGTGCAAATAACAGTTTTCAAGTTTTGTAGTGTGGGTGGAAAAAACGCTGCGTCAACGGTAGTGTGCACGATGAGCGTTTTTTTGATCGGCGAAAACGTATCATCGAAGGTACATGCATTAGTGTGAAAGGAGCCTAAGTATTAGACGATCGTTACCAGAAGTTTATAATGCTATTGTTAACTTCTGATGAGAAGGTGGATTAAATATTATTGGATCCGTAACTGTTCTTTCATTCATTTACAGGCAAACAATTGAGTCTTTTTCAACATTTTTCTCTTTTGACATCTGGAGTTGGTTTTTGGAGCTCAAAGATTTTACATTAAATAGTCTTGCAAAATATGCATTGCGTGGTTTAGACAGCATCCCACCGACGAAGGAATTCGCTTACACACAGCTAATGGGACCAGACTTCACTAAGAACTTTGTGATCTGTATGCGTTAAAAAATGAATTCCTGCTCGGTACAAATACAGATGATTTTGTTCAAACCTCTCGCAAAGTCTGTTGTGCGATGTTCAAAATAATTAGACCATGTTAGGAGAAAGCTTCCACAACTGAATATTTTCTTTTATACAGTTTCTTTAAGAATTTCTTAGTGTTAATTTAGGGCCGTAATGAGTTTCTTAATTCGTGTTTCCTCTCGGCTATTATTGCATACTGTGCGGCGGTCGATTTGTGTGTTACTCGTAGGGTAGTTTTACTGAAGGCTCCTTTGCATATTCTTAAAAGCTTTCCACTGATCAGTATGCCCTGCTTTGGCTTCAGAGAATCCTTCTCAACGTCTTCATTTCATAGACGACTATAAACCGAAGCCTCAAGCCGGCGAAAACTGGCTCAGTCAGGCAACTGAACGCATGAGGTACTTCTAAGTTCAGCAATACTAAGAAGAAACGAGTCAAACAAATCTTACCTGAGATGAACAGCTCGTAGAAGAATCCGACGCTTGTAGCCCTACTTCTTGTACTTTGTCTCCAGCCAGCTATTAGGTTCAAACGTTTATACGTTTACTCCACTTGGAACATGATATTGTAAACCGCAAGAACTTAACTGAGCTGGCTTTAGTTGTAATTTGAAAACTCGAGCGGCTCTGCCGTAAGGATTATCGTCACTGAACAAATACACCGGACATCAAAAACACGGTTTAAGCGTGTTCATCCGCAATCCTCTCATTCAGTGGCAAGTCAGTGACGCAATTGCATGTCCCTTGCCTGTTTTTATACGAGACGTGTAAGTCTCTGAAACACCTTTATTTTTAATTCTTTCAACGTGAGCATTCTCGTGACCTGAGATCGGCTGGCATTTTTATTATAATCTTTAGGTGGAATGCTGGTCACCCAAAAATTTCCGCTCAACAAAATTTGAAACCCACGTACCGCCCAATATTGGTTGATGGCGTGCAGGGACGCCAAATGCACCCAACTAGTGGCACAGAGAGGTTTCCACTATTTATTGAGGTTACTTTCGGAAAATGTCATTGATTTATTTGCAATCATGATTTGTAAATTATCAGGTGTCAGTAATAGTAGTCATAGTAACCGCTTCTAGGCTCGGAACCGACTGGGATTACCAGAGTTCCAGTTCGGTCCGATGTGCCTTAGCCATTCCTTACTGCTGGTAAACCAATTGCAAATTAAAAGATTATTTGTACTTCGCACTGTATATACAGAATTGTTTTTCTTGTACATGACTGCTGGCCCTACGTGACTTCTGGCAAAGAGAGTAAATAGAAGATTACTGATTCTTGGCACTGTACACACAGATTCCTTGGGTCATCTCAGTAGCAGCTCTCGTAAGGTCTCACACGCATGGCTCGTTGAAGGGAACAATAAGCAATCAACAGAAACAATACCCTCTTAAAACAGTAACAGCTACTACAACAATAAAGCAATATAGCAGCTTACGAGAGCTGCTGAGCTTGTGGATTTCTTCCTCCTACGTGACTTTGTCAGATCCGTATAATGATCTCGTGTCCATTTTCTCGTTGACGTCCGATGTTTATCTTCGGAAGGGTTTCTGACGATCTTCACTCCTATTACAACTTTACACTGATGTTACACTTCTGCACGCGTGTTACAGGAAAGCTGCACTCCCTTTTTAGCCAGTAAGGGTCAATACCTTTTTAAGAGTGTTATTGGTATAGGCAATCATACGATTTTCAGCGCCGTGTTTGGAATAATAAGTTGGAGTTAAGTAACTTGAGTTTTCAAAGGCTGACAAAATTGCGCGAGTCCGCAGGTAAAAAATCTCAGGTTATATTTTGGCTGATCTTCGGGTAATCTTTGGAACTCCTCGGTGATGGCGTAGGAGGGGTTCCAAAATGTTCGAATGATACTCTGAAATCTTCGTTCGGGTTCGGGTGATCTTCGAGAGTGTTCAGGTGTACTTCGACCACCTTTGAAATACCTCGAATAACCGTCGGTAGTCTTCGAGTGTCTCAGAATCGAGAAGTTTACACTACGAGTGATAATTGAAAATTCTTTCAAAAAGCCGAGTGGAATTGGAAAGAATTTTCAAAATTTCGCGCGTAGTGTAAATCCTTAATCACTCGAGCTTTCATACGATTACACACTCACTCATCCACATCGGGCCCATGAGGACTCTTGAGGCCGGCTTCATACGATTACGACGATTACTAATACATTATCCGACTGCCGGAAGATATCTTAATTACTGATTATTTGGACTGCCCTCAGCCAAATACAGTCAAAAAATGTTTTAAGTCATATAATGTAATCAATGAAACACGGAAGAAATTCCAAATTACGGTAAAACGTGAATTTTCGCGACACTTCAATTTTACCATTTTCGGGATTACATATAGAAAACGCGGACTTTTTAAACGTATCGGAAAATTTCATGTAATAAGATATGCACAGGTAACCATGCACCACCATTTTGTCAATTTTGTAAATACCATTTTAACAAGCGTTTGAACTACTTTGGGAAACATTCCTAAAAATTTAACCAGGGTTTTAAAAAACGTGATTCGCTTGTCATGATTTGTCCGTTATGATTCCACTGCAATCGGCCGGGACGCGTGTACGTGGTTAACCGAAGAGATAAGTCACAATGAGGCCCCTTCCACACTTCGCCGGAGGAATTTCAAATCGTAGCTTAATTTCTCTGGTTAGGCCTTCCGTCCACACTAATCCGTCACGAAAACGGAGCTTTTCGAAAACGCTCTTCAAACCAGAAGAATTTGAAAACGCCGAGTTTGCGTTTTAGTGTAGACGGAAATCATTTTAAAAACGAAGCTTTTCGAAAGCGATAACGTCACGATAATAATATTTCCCTGCCCGAGACTTACTCAAACACAAATCTAAAACGACCGGTGATTGTTGCGTTTTCAAATTTCTCTGGCGTAGTGTGGACGGAAAACATTTGATGCGTTTTCAGAGTGAAGCCTCCGTTTTCAAATTCTTCCGACGTGAGATTGTGGAAATGGACAGTCAGCTGGCGAGTAGATTTGCCATGGTCATGTAATTATGGTCGAGTGGATGAATCTTATGTCGGGTGGATCATATTCAAACTAAAGAACCAAAGACAAATGATTAATTACTCAGCAGCGTTTATTGAATACTTAGCATCTAAAACCCAAGCTTACGATACAAATATCGCTTGTTTTACCATTAATTGTCAGCAAAAAGAAAATGTTCAACTTTAGGGAAACTCATTTTAACAATTCCGATTTCTCAGTGCCAGTTGTTACTCTAAATCATTGCAATCTCTGGGTCAGCAGCATAATTCTCCTGACTGTTTTTCATACTTTGGCCATAATTAAACTTGGGAGATTTTATCCCTGAGATCATTACAGACCAGTCTCACGAAGCCATAAAGACTTAATGATCGCTGCAGGCCAGGTTACGTTTTAACCAGTTCCTAGCTGTGTATTTCTCACGCGCTCGACTGAGATGGAATTGGTCTGAGAAACATTATAGGGGAGCGGGGAAGTGCCAAAAGCGGCCACGGAAAGTCAGACTTCCAGAATGCAAAAGCAAAGAACGGAAGAGCGAACTGTAAAAAAAAAAAAAAAAATTCAGCATTGAAAAAGCTGTATTGTAACTGCAATTTGCAAGACTCAAATTAAACTATTTGCGTTGCCTATTTACAGAACAGGATCGGTCATTACAGCTGACCTCCATAGGTCACTTTATTAGGGGTTCCTAAAAATTAAGTGTACCCCACCCTATAGAGACGACTACATCAGCTTCGCTTTCTCTGGAAGCAGTGTGGCTGAGCTGTCAAGGTGTTGGTCGTGAATGAATGAGTGAAATCCGGATGTCCTGGAAATCTGTTTGCACTAATATTAGCACAGCAAATGTTATCTGTGCACGTCAAAGATGTCAAAATAGCCAGCCACTCAGCTTCATGTCTGAACGTACTCTTTTAAAAAGCTATCTTTTTTTTTCATTAACTAGTTTCCAAATTAGCAACTCAATGCAAGCAAAATGTGCAAACACACCGAAAGCAGATTATGCAAATTTTCTCCGCGACTTTTTAAGCTCATAATCAATGAATAAATGACCATAACTAACGCTGACTCACAAACTGGACAAGAAATACTTCCATAATGTTGGAAGCAAAGCTTAACTTTCTCACCAAACTATGTAAAACCTAGTTAAGCCAGTTAGTATGTTTCGACCTTTCTAAAAACCAGAAGATTAAACTAAGGAGGAAGTTCAAATAACGATTGATCGGCAACTAAAACTAGGAACGGTATGGGTACAGTACCAGCCTCTATAAAATGGTAAAGTTAACCTGAACAAAAGGATGGAACAAGCTATGTATCACTTGAAGAAAGAAACGATTGGTTGACAAAACTAAATGTGTGGTTTCCTTTTTGAGGTGGCTCCAAGCAATCGTATATTGGATCATCAGCAAATCCTTCCATGAGATCCTTGTTGCCAATGTCGTCGTACCATTGCTCCGCCAAGTCAGATTGGGATTCACTCCATTCCGGGGTGGCTATCTTGTCTGGCATAAAATATTCGTGCTCTTCCCTCTGATTTTCTGGCTTGTAGTCACTGACGTCGTACGTGGGATTAGCGTGACTCGTTGTTACTGTTTCAGCGGCAGGCTTGGGTTCACTGCAGGCGTAGGCGGGATTAGAATGACTCGTAGTCGTTGCCTTCTGCTTTCTTCTCTTTATGCAATAAGCCACCAACAAGATACCTGCAACTGATTGTAATGAGGTAATTAAAATTGTAAGAGGGAGTACGGTTAGATATCTGTAACATGCATGAGTCGAGGGCTTGGGGAAAGATAGAAAAAGAGCCGATAAAGACCACCTACCCACCAACGTTTAAAAAATGTCAGTTTGTGCATATTCCTCAAGTTTGTTTTACATAAACATACAATCCACAAAAAATGAAAGAATATTTCAGGTCTTAAAAGAACTTTTGCATTTCGTTCTTGTAGGATAGTGAACTCTCATCAAGGCCGAGTTTAACTCTGGCAAATGCATGAAAAGTTCCAGAAAAAGTAATTATGGTGCGGTAATTATTAGTAAATTGCTGGGGGTGTGGTTGAGGAACAAAAGTTTCTTACAGTTTTCTACTTACTCAGGAATATTACAAGTGGGACGACAACAATGACTGGAAGTTTCCATGGCAAGTCCTTAGTATTTTCTTGCTCCTCTGTTTGACCAGCATCCTTAGTTGGAAGTACCTCAGTGACAGTCGTCTAAAAGGCAAAGAAGGGTAGAACAAACAAGACATTTACAAAGAAAGCAAGCAATCCGAAGACGACAGTCAGTCAGTCAGCTACCAGGAGTCCATCCTGCAGTCACTGAGTCAGTCAGTCGATCTGTCAGTCAGTCAGTCAGTCAGTCAGTCAGACAGTGAGCCAGTTAGTCAGTCAGTCAGTCAGTCAGTCAGACCGCCCGTCTGTCCGTGTGACGCATGAGCAGACCATTCTTTGCAAGCAGTTCCTTGCAGGCCATATGGTGAGCTCTCGGCCGATGAAAAGGAAGCAAAACATGTATCGAAGGATAAAGAAATTTGTCCGTGGCGAGTAGATCAATGATTCAATAGCTGTTGATCTAGTTGTAATTTCCAATCGCTTTCTCAAATTATAATACTCCGGCAATGGAGCTACCTTTTTCAGAGAAATGTGGTCACAACTATACATGAGCAGAACATTGTTTGCAGCAAAATTACTGTGCGGCAATGCCCATGATTCGACCGTTATTTTGTGGAAGGTATTTTCAGATCAGGCGGTGTAGTCTCCGCCAATGTAAAGGATGAAACACTGTACCGAATGATAACATGACTTAATTGCGGCGGGTTGCCAGATCGTGAATAATCATAAATAGCTCACCTTGAAAATAGGAGAGGTAGGAAGAGTGGACTGTTCCTCAGTTGCAGGAATATCGCTTGATGGTGATTTGATCTCTACGATATCAAAATCAAACAAGTCGAGCACTCAGTAACTACGAATGGATACTTAGCTGAATAGTTGACCGTCGAATTTTTTAAAAGCAGCTAGGTCGCTAACTTACTACATGGCTTAAAGGAGTCAAATGTATGGAATTCTACTGAACAACCTGGGTCCTGAGTCACTTTTTTCTGACAGTTCGATCGAGGCTGTAGCAAAGCCAAATAAGGATCGACCAACTAGGAGGCTGGCTGAAACCTCTGGATGCGCGCAATTCGTTACGTGAGAAGCCGAAGCTGTACAGCCAAAACAAATATTGATCCGTAGTGACGTTCTTTATCCGTACTTTGTGAAATACCTGTGCATTGCGACTGGTTCGTTGCTCCAGTTGACGTCGTGGTGAGGCCCTGTCCACAAGAAAGGCAATCTTTCTGGCCATCGGAGGGCTGGTAAGTGCCAAGCGGACACAAAATACATGTTCGGTTTTTTGCGCTGTGCGAGCCAGCAGAACAGTTACCTACAAGGAAGCGTCACACAATAACAAGCTTTCCTCTTTTGAAATGTTTAGTACAGCCATTCAGAAGGGCATAATTCCACCTTGTATTACAAGGTCTTTGAATGATATTGTTAAGCTTGCTCTATATAACAGGCTAACCTCGGTATTGGCGTTCATGAAATACAGACAGGGGTAAAATTGTATGAGCTAAGAGTCTGGTAAGTTCTCCTAGCCTAGTATAAAACAACGAGTATCGCTTTATAAGCAGTTGTTAAATTTTCCTATAAACTTACCAATACAGTGTATTTCTTCCACAGTTCCATTTGAGATAGTTGTTAGATTTTTACCACAAGGAATGCAGGATGGCTGACCCCGAGAAGGTTGATAAGTTCCAAGCGGACATACAGAGCACGTTCGGTTCTGTGTACTGTACGAACCAGCTGGACAGTCAGCTGTGAAACAAGAGGACACATCAGGCTATTAACGATGTCTGACTGAATGTTGTCGCAAAGGTTATCAACTGATAAGAGCGAGAATGAATGAAGGGAAACTTTACCAATGCAGTCTTCTTCCTCCACTGTTCCATTAAAGGCTGTGGTCAGGTTTGTACCACATGAAAGACACCCTGTTTGGCCTTGAACAGGCTGGTAAGTCCCAACTGGACATTTGACGCACGTTTCATTCTCTGTGTTGTAGGACAAACCAGCCGGGCAGTTTGCTGGAGAGGTACAAGGATTTGTAAGTTAGTGCACAAAAGGAGACACTATAGACGCTGGCTAATAATCACTGATAAAGCAATCAGAAATAACCTCGAAACCGGGCAGGGAACTGACTCACCAAATAGCGTTTCGTTTTGATTGGTTCGAAGGTTTATGATTCAATTGTGATTAAATCTTAATAACTACAGAAATAATTGAAGCAAACACAAAAGCCATTCGAAGGCGTAGAGAAGTACTTTGTTAGTAGCTAATGACAATTGTTGCTATGCAAGTGGGCATGGATTTCCAAAAGCACGTGTTCTTGTTGAATCCCTTCTGTGCTCAAAAGTAAAATTAATCGATGTCATGTTATACACAACACTAACATTTGTATTTAGCGATCATGAGTGGTTACGAACTCAGAAAACATGAAACTTACCGCAGATGTAACCATTTTCACTGAGTGCTTGTCCTTCGGGGCATTCTGGAGATAATGGGTAAGCAATTAGGCTTCCGGGTTCACCACGAAGAGAGGTGGTATTCCATGGTACTGCAAAGGTCTTGTTTTGTATGGCAGAATTGAATTGTTCCAGCTTGTCAACAAAGTTAGCTTTAGCGTCAGCAAGGGCCTCTACAATTTCCATGTTCGATGTAAAATTGTCCTCCTTCCAACCTTTACTGTCTATGTCCAATATGAATGCTACGATAGCTGTTGAAGTATTCCTTGAATCGTACTCAAATTCCGAGATTAGCTCATGAGATATGTTAAGCGATCTTGCAAGTGCATGGATAATTGTAGCAGTCAAGTTTTCGTTAATTGATGACGGTAATTCTTCCAAGGAATGACATGGCTGCGGATCTTTCTCGGTGGAGTTTCTGGATGTATTAGAAGTCGAACTACAGTAGGAAGTGAGATTTAGGCCAACAAGCAACCTTGGAAGACCGATGCTGTAACCTAATACGTCTAGTCGGGCTCTTCGGCTGACTTCTGCACCATGCTCGTTAGATGCCTCACAGTAGTAGTAACCTTCGTGATGACGGCGAGGGTTGGCCATATATAACACAGGTTTGGTCTCGTTAAGTTTTACAACGGATGAATTTGGTGATTGAAAAAACCACTGAAAGCTAGGAGTTGGTTGGCCCGTTGCATTGCAAGTAAACATCGCAGGAGTTTGACTTCCAACCACCACTCTTTGTGCCTGCGGATGTTGCGTGATTTTGGGCTTGTTGTGAACTTTAACAATTGTCACGTTGGACAGTGTGCTGCCTTTGTTGTTTGACACCACGCAAACATAAACACCCTCGTGTTGTTTGCTGACAGCACGTTCATATAAAGTTCCATCCCGTGATTCCTTGATGACCTTATCGTTTCTCTTCCAAGCATATGTCAGCTCCGCCTCGCTCTCGGCAGTGCAACTTAAAAGCAGACTGTCTCCGGGCAGAAGAATAATTTCTTTTGGAGATGAGGTAGTTATGAGTGGGGTTCCTCCACACAAAACTGAATCATCACGAGTTTTGATCAAAAGTGAAAAAGCTTGAAGGAGTGTTTGCTCTGCTTCCACCATCGTTAGAGCATCCGTTGTTAACTTCCTTACCACTTCTCTGAGCTGAGGGAGGGCGTCTTTAATCGCCATTGCCCTTGGACTGTCTTCAAACTCGTAAAATTCTTTTGCACCGTCAAAAAAGTAATCGATGCAGTCTTCTGTTCCAGAACATTCTTCAAATTCATTGTTCGAAGTGAAAACCTCCAGAAACGCTCTCCAAGCCTCCAGAGTGTCATTCCAAGATTGCGACGAGTCATTGGTCAACCTGCTACTTTCCTCCTTAAGGACCTCTATCATTTCCATGTATTCCGTCAAAAACGAGCTGTTCGGATACGTGGTGGTGGTGTTCACAGACGAAACATTGGACGATGAACGGCTTAGATGAACAGTCTGTGCCAGTGTTTCAAGATCATGGACTCCAGACGATAGGCTTGCGTTGAATCCTTTAACTGACGCAATTAGATCTCCCAGTGATTGAAAAATGGAACTCAAGAATAGGCTTGTTGTGTTGGCAAACAGGCATGCATATGGGTAATCGGTGAAGGTGGCATCTAAACGATGCGTAGAATTTGCAGCGTAAGTTTCATCCGATCGTCTTCTCCTTGAATGCTTGCTGCCGAATAATTTGGCAATGATGATCTTGGATGCTGAACTGACTGAGCGTTCAACTTGGTCGAAGTCAACCAGAAAACTGACGGCACTTTGTTGACCATTCCTAGAGCTAACCTCACTTTGAAAGAGGATCTTTTTGGTGTCTTCTGATGACATGGAAAAGGAAAATTTCATGTCTCCAACTTCGACAGTTTTCTTGTTATCCACACTTGAGGCGTTTATAGCTTGTGCTATTTCCAAGCCAAAGTCAACCACACGTCGAACATGAAGCATGGAGGCATTGACAATTTCTACAGCTGACAAACGCTGCTCCGTGTAAGATTTCACCTTTTTTAACGTGCTCACTGCGAAATCGTGTCGTATTCTCGCCTTCTCGTAAACAGACGATGCCTGTTTAACTCTATCAACAGAATTCCTTAAAGACAAGAATGCAGATTGAAACGTCTCATTCATGGCATTGAGCGTAAATTGAAGCTCAGCCATGGCCACCCGACATTCTTCGTTACTCATTACACAAACAGGATCTATCACTTTGGTCTGGCATCCATACTGTTGGCAGCAAGGATAAGGGGGACCATATCCACCTTGTTTCGTTTTTTCTTCCTGGCCTGTACATCTTACTTCCTTGATTATCTTCTCCACTGCTTTTGCGTCGTAAATTTTGTGTTCGTACTCAACCAATCGCGGTTCACCTGGTATTCTTTCATAGGTATTAGAACAGCCGAATATTTTCTTACTGAATGCTCCAACAAGCCCACCAAGAATTCCTCCAACAGCTCCACCAACAACCTTTCCAATTAATGGAAATCCAAATAACCCTCCCAGAATTCCTCCGGCGAATTTTCCAATGCTAAACCCTGTTTTAGCGTACTTGAGTATTTTCTTCAAGGGAACTCCTGATCTGCAGTTACCAGTGTATACGGTTTGATACGTCGCAACTTCAAAACTGCGCGTTTCAGTACTTTTCTGTACAACTTCTACGGTTATCGCTTTGTCAACCGTGTCACAGTACCGCTCAAGATAGGTTATGTTAATAGGGTTCTGACAGAGGTCAGGGATGACACAGCCATTGAAGCAAGTGTAGTTGCACTCCATTATTTCGCACATGGCGTTTTGGATATTTTGCCGAAAATAGACGGTGCTGTTGAAACGTACTTTTGCGAGATGGTATTGCAAACGTGCCAGACGAAGTTCCTCTGCCGCCTTTACCTTTTCCATTCTCAATTCTTCGACAGCAGCCTGTTTTAATTTCAGAGCTTCCTTGGCGGCATCTGCTTTGGTTTTTGCATCATTAAAGGTTGCTTGGGCATTCGCTAACCTTTTAATGGCCTCCTCGGCAGCCAAAGTAGTTTCGTTTGCAATCATACTCTCGAGCATCGTGTAAAGGGGTGATGAGTTGTTCATTGTACCTTCTACTTCAAACACTACAGATTTCCAGTGCACAACGTTCTCAACGTCCGCTTTGACATTCAAAAGCGCGTCAAATTTTCCAAACACGGGTCCCCAGACAGCAAAGGAAAGCTCATGTCCAATCATTTTTATGGTGGCGGTCCTCTTCAAACCAAGCAAGTCAACAATGCACTCAAACGTAGTCATCAACGGCTCGTTGTTACGACCTATCAGCATTCTGAATGGTCTATCAACCGGATATGTTATAACTTTCCCAAGAGAAATTTCTTTCAAGGCAGTTCCTTCAACAATCACACCAGCGTCTTCTGTTGAAGAGTTAGTTAAACAAGACTTGTCATGTAAAGACCAAATGCTACATTTCATGTTCGTAAAGCAGAGTCTCTTATGGCATATTTGACCATTTAGATGAAAACTCACACCCAGAAAGGTTTGCTGGATAGAGGACTTGGAAAACGAAAGAGAAATGGTCTTTGGAAGGTCTAGCTTGAGTCTGACGAGACGTTCAATGGACGTTTCGATGCTCGTTCGATTCTTGTATGGCTGCAACTGGACCACAAGGAGATCAAATACTCTCAACATGGTGTCAAGGTCATCATCAATCTTTGCAACAAGCATCTTCAGCTGTAAGAAATCAGACGAAGAAAGCAGACGGCGAGCTTTGATTACATTTATGAGCATTTCTTGCACCTTGGCAGACCACTTCTGCACATCGGGTCGCATCTCAGGCACAGATATCTGGACATCGAGAAGAACTCTCTTTATTTCCTGCGCCTGCCATTCCAATGACCTCAAGTTGTTCTTAGGATCGTGGACTGCGATGTCTTCTCCGCCCACAATTGCGTGGTAGACCTGCAGATATTTGGATCCTCCATAGGGCTGAACGACGGCTGACAAAAGGCTATTCTTGAATGGTTTACAAGATCGATCAAGGGTAAATACAAATCCTTGAGCGACTAAACAATTAGACCCAAGTAGAGGCGTTCCTACCAAGTAAATAAAAAATACTTCTAAGCAACGTTAAGTAAGTCGAGAAGATAAATGCATGTGTATCATAAATAGAAGTAAACAAAAGGAGAAAACAGAGAAGGCGAAAAAGAAGAACAAGAACAAGAACAAGAAGAAGAGGAAGAAGAAGGACAGAAACAAAAACATTAAAGTAGAGAACAACAAAGAAGACGAAAAATATAAACAATAACATCACTGAACATAAACAGAAACAGTTGCAATCATAATAATAACTTAACATAAACCTGAAACACATTGCTTCCTTCCCAAAACAACAACAACAACAACAACAACAACAACAACAAAAACAACAGCTACAATAAAATAAATAACAAAATAACAAAAAGAACATTTCTTACCACCCAAGATTATTTTTCCAGTTACGCTGCTGGCGTAAAACGTCAAAAAGAATCTCTGGCCAAGAGCTCGCACAGTAAGATTAAACTCGACTGATCCATGGAACATAATCTTAATTGGCCGCGAAAAATACTTGGTAAATAACTGAAAGAGAAACAGAAATTCTGGTATTTTGAGTAATAAATTGGAATAAAAATACGTATGTAACAAGTAAATTACAAGGAGGAGAAAATAACACTGATCATTCCTATTACCTGTAGACGACGTAACCATTATTAACTCATGAAAACGTTTTGTGGCGTGCGATTGATTAAAATAAGTAGAATGATACATACTTTCCAGTTTCGCTAGTCACTTTTTGTAAACACACGGGAAAATAAGCAGTTAACTTGTGACAAAAATGAAACAAATGGCGCTTTGTTTTGTCCTCAGCAGAAGGCTTGCCAATTGTCATATAGCCGCGTACACAACCACGCCCTCCTTTAGACTGATAAGCCTTTAAGAAAAATAAGTTGTACTTACACTATCCAAGTCTTCAACGAATACAAAAGCTTCTCCAGTCAGTTTTATATCCACAGAAAAATCACTCGAATTTTTCAGGAAGATGTCGGCACTCCCTTGAAGCCACAGATTATAATGATAATCTGAGAAGTACTCAGCCAAGGGACCCACTGGAAGACGATTCACGATGGCGCTGTATCTTCTCCGAGGGGTGAAACCGAGCGATGACAAGAACAGTTTCCATCTTCCATCTATCATCTCTTTCACAAAGGGCATGGTGGCAATTTCTCTGTTAGCGCTTTCGGACAAAGTCAGAAAAACCCCACCGTTACAAAGATCAGTTGCAAAACAACAGTCTTTGCTTGACAGAAAGAGCTGTTCATTCTCAACGGAGATACTGTAATTGACTTTTGGACGATAGATGACCGCTGTAGAGTTGGTTCCAGTTAGTAAAATCTCGCAGCTTGGATGGACGTATCGCGGACCTGTTGTTTGAATAAGGCTAGCCAGTATGTTCTCTGTGGCGAACACGTAACTGTCTTCTCCAGCCGTGAGTTTCAACCACAGTGGCAATTGACGTGAAAAATATTGTAAGAAGGATTTGGGAAAGGCGTCTTTCTGAATGAATTCCATTAAGGTTTCCCCTGTCGATTGGAAAGGAGAGCACCCTTGGCTAACTGGATTGAGGTCCTCTGATTGCGTCTTCTCACTAACGTTTGCGTGGTCGATAAGTCTTTTCAACATTTCTTGATGATTCTGATCGGGCGAAGAAAAATCATACCCTTCAAGACTCAGAGGGATCGTCTTGTTGTCAGGTGTAATAACGTGGACAGGTCCGGACTCAACACGAACATCAGCTGACACAGTTGCTGTGGAATCGAAAGCCACCGCGATGTCACACTGATAATTGGACAGTTTTTTCTTCTGGCATCCGATTGGTAACTCGCCAACCAATAGGCCAAGTTTGGTGTAAACACTCTCCTGATTGGATGTATTGCGGCCAATAAAGATAGAGCTGTTCTTTGGAGAAGCAAAAACGGGTCTGTCTACTCCTGTTAGGTCATAAGACACCATTCCCACGCCTGGCTTGTGTCCAGTCACTTGAAAGTCTGCTTTACTTGTTGGGTGCTGAATTACCAACTCATTCGGCTGGAAGGTTAAGTTCATGGTTGGATTGAAATGGACAGTCAATGAATTGTCGGGCTTTGCTAGCAACACAAGATTGTCCGAAGGGTTACCAGCGATTAGTTTTGGAAAATCAGGCGGTATAACTTGGCCTGTTTGGCAGCGATCACCTTCGTATCCAGTGTGTTTACAATCGCACGAGAATTTTCGTGAATTGATGATTACACACTTTCCACCATGGAGACAAGGATTAGGCCTGCAAAGGACGATCTCTGGAAAAACGAGCATAAAAATAACAACAAAGTATCACAAAGAAATGAACGAATGGCTAAAGGAAGGAAGGAAGGAAGGAAACTAGGGAAGGAAGGGAAGGTTGAAGGAAGGAGGGTAAAATGATAAGTCCGAACCCCATGTTGACACAGCAAACCTCAGCCAGTCCCAAACTTTTAAAACACTCTTTACACGAGTCTGGCCAAACATCTTCGTTTGCGTTCGGAACTTAATCAGAGAACAAAACGATACCTACCTTCACATTTAAAGTTTCCGATGTCCCATGCAACGTGGCTTGAATTAATCGATCGGCACGTAGCAACGCTATCACCAAATGCAACATATCCATCCCTGCAGTCACGTGTACAGGTGGAGCCAAAAGTGGTATAACAGGGAAGCAAAACGTTTCCATTCTCCGGTGGAAATAGTGTGCCACAATGTTTAACTGTGCCGAATGAAAGAAAAACAAAAAATGATGCGGATACTGAAATATATTTATTGGAGAAAGGCGATCGCTGTCAAACAAATCAGTTTTAACTATAAGAACTAATTAATACAGTTTATATAACTGAGTGTTCAAGAGCGTTCAGCTACAGGGTAAAAAATACAACAGTTGTCTTTTTTAACCGAAAACTATTATCTAGCACTTGTTCTTAATCCACAGGAAGTAAACGATTGTTTGTTTGCTTCGCTTGCCATAGAACACTAATAAAATATTAATCGCAGTTACCAGTGCAAGACGCTGGTTGGCCGTCCCATTCAGAAGAGTTCGAGCAAGTTCTCTGTTTAGAGCCTTGTAGTTCGTATCCGTCCTCGCACCTAAACCAACAGGTCTCATTAGTCACCAAGCCGCTGCAGTTCATGCGCCCATTGGGCGGGTCATTGATGGCCTCACAAGGTAGACCTGGAAGTAATGTGCAAAGAACAAAGATGAAAGTATGTTTGCAGAACAAAGTATGTTTATTCCTTTCATGGGATACTTGCCCAGCAACCCGTCCCAAACTACTCTGACAACGTATTGCCAGTCACGTTGCCCGAACTAAATCATTGCTACTTTACTAGACACTAGTTTGGGTGTTCGTTTTACCTGATAAAGGGCAGGAAATCTAGCTCTGATACTGAGGAAGTAAGATATAAAAAGGAACAGCAAGACATAGAGCATTGGCATTTACCTTCGCATGTTCTCATGTCAGCTCTTAGTTTGTAACCATAGAGACACGAGCAACCATAAGAACCAGGAGTGTTGTGACAGTTGTGTTCACAGGAATGAGCCCCTGTCTTACACTCGTTTATATCTGCGTGACAAAAAGATTAATAAATCACTCCTGCAGAACCCGGGAAACTGATAGTCATGGAAAGCAATTCATCGAAATAACAGATACCTGTCAGTTGGGCAGTCAGTCAGGCAGCCATTCAATTCACCGATCATGAACAGTTGTATGATCGGTCGGTCGGTCGGTCGGTCGGTCGGTCGGTCGGTCAGTCGGTCGGTCGGTCGGTCGGTAGGTCGGTCGATCGTTCAGTCAGTCAGCCAGTTAGATAACCGGTAATCAGTAAGCAAGGAATTTTTCTTTTCATTTCTTTACAGGGTCCACGAAATCAGAGAAACCATTTACCTCGGCACCGTTTTCCATCATACAACAGCTGAAAGCCCTGGTTGCAACTGCAGGTATAATTTCCTTGCGTGTTGTGACAAAGTTGATCGCATCCTGCTGGTATTATTGTCTTGTTGAGACTCGGTACAAACACCGGATTGCATTCATCCACGTCTGAGAAAAAATATAAACAATTGCTGCTTGTATTTGATTTATAAAGTGATTACATGGTTGAATTAATATTTTAAAATAGAAACCATCACTCTGAAGTGAAAATCTATGGATGGCTCCAGGAATCACCTATGCATGCTGCGTTTTCTTAGAATCGTACAATTCACAAACTAACAAGAAAGCAAGGAGGTAAACCGAGAAACAAATATACAAACAAAGACCTGCGAGTAATTGTCAACTATTGAAGAGAATGCAACATCACAACTAAACATGTCTCAAAATAGCACGTGTTAACAGCGCTTACCAGAACAAGTCTTGTTGTCTATGTTTAATGCATATCCAGTTTGACATGAGCAGTAGAAGCTTCCCAGGAAGTTGTTGCACACTTGCTGACAACCATGATGGCCTAACAAGCATTCATCGTGATCTGGGAAGCAAGAAAACGACGATTAATCACTCGTAGTTTAGTTTTAAAAACATGTCATAAAAGTCAGCAAAAAGATAGCGGACGAAACGTCAGAAACCGTGAATGAAAGTATCGAAAAGTAACTCTAAACTAGGAACGGGCAAAACCACAGTCGTTGCCATGAAAGTGCCCTTTGACATTAATGAATAATTTACACATTGAAACGTTTCACAATACCTCATAGTGTCTGGTCAAAAAGTGTAGTCATTACATCATGATAAGTTTGAAATCAGCATTCCGCAAACACTAGAAAACTCAAACCACTAACACCATCGCACCTGAGCAAGATCGTCCATTTGAATCCAGGTAAAATCCGGAGCGACATTCACATCGATAGGAGCCCTCAGTATTGACACACGTGTGAGTGCAGAAACCATTACTTGACTGACATTCGTCTATATCTGAAAATGAAAACAAATCTCTCTCATGCAGCCCGTTCGCTGCATGATGGAATTTCCACTATGCGAGTACGTTCACTCTTGGACTAGGTTCATACTGACACTAGTTTCATTCGCAGAATTTGCCCTGAGATGGATTTGATCTTGTTTGTTGTGTTTATGCCCGACATGATGAAAGGTGGTTTTGTGTTATGAAAGTGAGATTCACCTACACCGGACTGTAGAAAATGGACCAAAATCCCATGTATAACGTAATAATATAGATAGGACCCTGCGCGCGCTCTAATTGGTCAAAAACCCATGTTTTATCAAAGTATAAAACATAGAAAAAGCGTGAGCCGTGTATTACGCTGTGATAAAACACTCCAGACATATGAGAACACTCGAGATATGTAGAAAACACTCGCCAGCGGCTCGTGTTTTCTACATTTTGCTCATGTTCTCAAATGCCCGTCGTGTTTCATCACAGTGTAATACATGGCTAAGTCAAAAACAAGACCTCCGCGAGAAGAGAATATATAGCATTGTAAACGAACGTAAAGATAGGACCTACTCAGCTCATTATCAACCCACGGTTTCAAGAATACAACTTCTTCACCTTCACAGTGAGTGCCATTGTTCTGGCTGGTCAGGCGATATCCACTATAACATCCACACGAGAATGTTCCAGGGAAATTGTAGCACCTCTGTGAGCATCCTCCGTTCGCTGTTGAACACTCGTTGATATCTGAAGACAGACAAACCATGCAAGAAATTTAATGTGGTCAGTCTCGTTCAAAGCAAGAGTGTTAATTTGCATACAAAAGAACGATTGCTATTCTTACACAGAACAACACGATAACCGGCAATCAGCAACAATATAGTTTTCTGATTGGCTGATTAGTTCTTCTAGTATATGGTGACCAAAGTGTTATGAACATAATGTTGTGGTGGTGCAGGAAGCGTTTTTACTATGGGTGTTACATAATACCTTTACATGCTCCCTATTAGGCTTTTCGACATCATTACAATATTAAAAGCACAATAATACCACTGATGCGGCACACATCCCTTTCAATTACTGAAAAAACACAAAGGGTGCTTTCCAGTGGGAATCCGGATTTCACGGTAAAACTTCGCAGAGTTGCAAGCCCAGCTTTACCACGAATTAATACAAGCCCACAGTTGGCGGACAACAGACCGCTGTTTATCAAACAGTTTTGCAAATCCTTTTTTTATACACGGATTTTCAACTACATAACCACAAAAGTAGCAAATCTATGACATGAAATGCAAATTTTCATTTGCTCCGAGAAGGATTTCAGTGCGTCAAAACTGGTTTGCGATCGAATTCTGGATTTCCCAATCGAACGCATCCAAACTCAAAACCAAACTAGATTACCATCACAAATTGTTCCACCGCTTCGCAGCTGGAATCCTTTTGCGCAGGTGCAAAAGTAGTTTGGGACAGTATTTGTACAAGCTGCACCACAAGCTTCCCCAGGTACTCCGCAAATACAGGGACTGGGAACCAATGACTGACATTCATCGATATCTAGGTATAGAAATATATACAGTAAGAAAGGTCAGCAAAAAGAACGTGAAATATTTCTTTCGTGGCGATTGGGATCGCTATTAAAAAACGCATCAAGTCCAGATGGCAAGCAGGTGATTGACTTTTACAGTGTAAAGTGAAAGAAGCAAATAGTTTCCAAAGAAGCTGACTTTTATGTAAGTCTTGCTGCGTAAGCAGGGAAATTATAAACTGGCAACTGACAGGCAATGAATCCCTTCAGCAATTTTCAAGAATATCATTTTGATTATTCGTATCTAATTTTAGGGTTAGGGTTAGGGCTAGGGTTAGGTTAAAAATGCCATCAACGTTCCTTCTCGAAAGTAATAACTGACGACAAGATCTTGATGAATAGCGAAAGGATCTCGCTAACACCTACCATGACAACTGCGTCCACTTTGGGTGTAGCCTAAGTTGCAGCTGCACTGATATGAACCTGGTGTGTTAGTGCAGATTTGATCGCATCCACCATTACTTGCAGCACATTCATTGATGTCTTTGGATAGAAGTAGAACAAATTACTTTAAAATACCGCTACACTGTATCTTCAACCAAAACAAAAATTCGCTCATCACTGCTATTTCGATCGTGTTTCCAAATATTCGATACTCAAGATCCACCAAGATTAAATTCGAATCATTTTTAAATGACTCGTGAATTGCGTAAGCAAGTAACGCAAATTACCGATTCATTTGTTGGTCTGGGAAAGTTTTAATCTCACATGATGGTTTGGGCGTACGTTACGCAAAGGTTAGCTCATGTCAACTATTATTCACTGGGAAATTCACGGGTTTGCTAATACTGAGAGCACTGTGTTGTATTTATATGACACTGTTATTGAATAATACGCTATGAGTTAAATCGAGGTACTCAGAGCGACGAAAGCGAATCAAAACGTCACTGACAAATTCTGTTATTTTACATCCTTACGATCATTCATGTCACTTCAGCAACGAAAAAATATAAAGAACCCAGAGTAAAAAAATGACAATAATTTAAACAAGCAAATGAACGAACAAACAAACAAACAAACCAAGAGAAATGAAACAAGGAGCAAAAAATAAATAATAATAATAATAGTAATAATAATAATAGTAATAATAATAATAATAGTAATAATAATAATAGTAATAATAATAATAATTAATTTTTTTTTAATATATACAATAAAAAAGGAGTGTTTATTGTGACAAAAACTAGAGCTAAGCTAGTTAATAATAATAATAGCTAACTAATAATAATAATAATAGTAATAATAACAGTAATACTACTACTACTACTACTACTAATAATAATACTGGTGAAAGACAAGAAGGAAAGAACCTGTCTGCTTATCGATATGTCCA